GGGAGGGGAGCGCTGACCTGCTGCGGCCGCGACCCGACCTGCCCGGTGCCGGGTGCCCGGGCCCCAGCTTTGCCGCCGCCCTCCCGCCTTCGGACCAGCCCCGACTGGTTGATTTTCCATTTTCCACCGCCTTCCTCCTCCTCCGATGAGATTTGTACTCTCCTCCTCCTCCTCCTCCTCCACCTCCTCTCGCTGTTGCTGCTGCTGTAGCGCTGGGGCTCCGAGAGCTGTGAGCAGAAATCTAATGAGACCCAACCGGCTGTTTATGTAATTTTTCACACTCCCTTCTCAAGGCGTTGCTTTCAAACTCCCCTTCCACCCAGCCTGAATTTCGCTCTGATGCATCTTGGAGCGATTTGGCTGCTTCGGCTGCCTCTGCCGGCACTCGGCTTGCAAAGTGTTTGTAGTTTAGGGGGCAGCCAGGTATTGTTTTCTCTTTGTCACCACGAATATGGAAAATAGAGCAGATGGATTAGTGCCAGCTTGATTTTTAAATGCCCTTTTAAATCACCCTCAGTGGACAAATAGATTCCTTTTGCAAATATCTTCTGTTTGCCCTTGATCTTTCCTTATCCCCACCCAGTGCTGATCCAGCAAACGTTTAAAGGTCGACCTTATCATACCAGCCTCTCGGGCTGTTTTATTAGGATGAGGGGAGGGAGGAGGTGTTTTTCAAAACCTGGACAGAGCTCAGAAACCCTGCCCTTTAAACAGAGTAATCAATAGAGTTGAAATTAATTTTTGCTTTTGTTTTACTCACTGCAGAAGAGATATTTTCAAATTTAGAAAGCACAATGAAAAGAAAAGAGAAACTGGATTATTATATGACCTAGGCTCACGTATATTTTAGGACTACAACTATGTAGGATAATTTGCTTTAAAATTATTCTGGGGATGACTGTTGGTTTACTATTTAGTACCTTAGATTTGAGCATCATGTACTTTCAAAATTAGAATAATTTTCTGAAATTACTAAATATTTCATGATAAAGCAGATTCAAAATATGGATTAAAAAGGAACTGAAATTTAGGAGGGCTTCTAAGTGATACACAAGAAACAACAGCCAACTTCTGAAACAAGTGTGTATATGTAGGTATCTATACTGAGAATAACTTCTAGTAAATGTTCGAGTCATAATTGAATGGGGAGGGGAAGGAATAGTAGTCTAGAGAGATTTTCTTTCTAGAACTCTATTCAGAAACTAAGACTATTGTAACAATAAATCCTAACTCTTCCTTTGAGCTGAACTAATAAACATTTTTCTAGTGTCTGTACCTTTATTTTATATTAACTTTTAGACTATTACTCTAGGACTAAGAAGACTTTGGGACATAAATTTACTTTATGTGAACATATTTGTTTTTGTTTTTTCTGTTTTTCTTTAAGGAACAAGACCACTCAAGGTGAAGGATAATCTACTAATACCAGCACTTTGAATGAAAATTTGTTTCTCTGCCACAAGCTGAACACCCTTTTTTTTTGGTGGGGGAGTTGAAACACCTAACTTTGTGGCATAGCAGCTATGCAGCTTGAAATCCAAGTAGCACTAAATTTTATTATTTCATATTTGTACAATAAGCTTCCCAGGAGACGTGTCAACATTTTTGGTGAAGAGCTTGAAAGACTTCTTAAGAAGAAATATGAAGGGCACTGGTATCCTGAAAAGCCATACAAAGGATCAGGGTTTAGATGTATACATATAGGGGAGAAAGTGGACCCAGTAATTGAACAAGCATCCAAAGAGAGTGGCTTGGACATTGATGATGTTCGCGGCAACCTGCCACAGGATCTTAGTGTTTGGATCGACCCATTTGAAGTTTCCTACCAAATTGGTGAAAAGGGACCAGTGAAGGTGCTTTATGTGGATGATAATAATGAAAATGGATGTGAGTTGGATAAGGAGATCAAAAACAGCTTTAACCCAGAGGCCCAGGTTTTTATGCCCATCAGTGATCCAGCCTCCTCAGTGTCCAGCTCACCATCACCTCCCTTTGGTCACTCAGCTGCTGTAAGCCCTACCTTCATGCCCCGGTCCACTCAGCCTTTAACCTTTACCACTGCCACTTTTGCTGCCACCAAGTTCGGCTCCACCAAAATGAAGAATAGTGGCCGTAGCAACAAGGTTGCACGTACTTCTCCTATCAACCTCGGCTTGAATGTGAATGACCTCTTGAAGCAGAAAGCCATTTCTTCCTCAATGCACTCTCTGTATGGGCTTGGCCTGGGCAACCAGCAGCAGCCACAGCAGCAGCAGCCATCTCAGCCGC